TCGTGACAAATTAGCGATGAATTTTGCGACGAATACAGTTCGTGGCAAATTAGCGACGAATTTTGCCACGAAAAATTTGCGACGAATTTTGCGACGAATTTTTTTTCGTGGCAAATCAGCGACGAAAATTGAAATTTTTCGTGGCTAAATTTTGCGACGCCGAATTAGCGACGAAATTTTTTTCGTCGCAAATTCATTTAGCGACGAATTTTGCCGAATTTTTCGTGGCAAAATTCGTGGCTAAAACCTTATTTTTTTGTAGTGGATGTAACGTAGGCTTAGGTAAAGAGGTTAAGAAATGAAAGGATTCAATGGGCTCAAATTTTAACGTTTGGGGGTTGTTGGAGTCGGTGATTATCTTAGCAACCGCTCATATCAAGCTGAGAAGATCATCATTGGGTCTTGTAGGAGCTTAAATGGTTGATAGGGCAAGTAGGAGCCTTCATAAGCCTTCAAGTAACTAGCTCTGCAAGCCCATACCCTAAAATTATAACAAAAAAAAAAAGAAAAGATACATGGCTCTAGAGTTCATTAGACTTGCATTTTTGTCATGTCTTAAAAGAAATTTTTTAACAGTGCATAGTAGTTATATTCTCTGTAAAATTGTAGGAGTAAGCTAAAGAATTGAAACATGCACGATCCATTTGGTCTTGGTGGGACGTAGGAGAACATCATCTTATACAACTCTGTTTCTTTGCAAATCTATGGAGTTTGTTTTAGACATAAACTAATTAATTACTAAATAAATACAGAAGGGATAGAAATTTAAACAAAAAGAAAAAGCTTTACAGGTGTCAGCTTCTGATAAGCCCATACCAAGCCCAACCAGTGAGCAACAATACACTACTATAATAATAAGACGTCTCTCCCCCAATATTGACTTATTTTCTCACTTGTCTGAGGATTGGCCCAAAGAAGAAAAGCAATCCGATGGTAACTGTCACGCCCCGTACCCCACGAAGCGCGAGCATCCCACCTCCGATCGTTGTGATGCAACGCTCCTAGGATGCATCGCCGACCCAACACCCAATCAAAGATAAGGCACATGCGGAAACAACGTATATAAATATATATATACACCCGTACAAAAACAACACACGCGAGACCAAGGTAGAACAACCATCAAACAAGAATATACACTTGTACTATTATAGTAAAACCTTTTTTTTTTTACACTATCCTTTTGTGCAATTCCAAAAAAACCTCAACATCAGCAGTCAACTGCCACTATATCAAAAAGGGTAAGTGGCACTGGTGGTTAGGCTAACTAGAGTAGGAACGCCATTCAAAAGAGACGGTCTTCATTTCCCAGGGTACCGGCCTGCTCTAGGGCTCCCAGTCAGGGTCTGAGGACTCTGATGAATCGCCCGACGGTTCCTCTGAAGACTCCTCCGAGGGCTCCGACTCCTCTGACTCCATATCCTCGGCTGCGATCTTCTCGTCCTCTGAATCTAGCTCTAACTCTGGGTCCAGATAAAGACCTAACTCGTCATCTTCCTCAGCTCCTATCTCCACATCGGACCCTACCTCGGCGACCTCTCCAATTTCTTCCTCATCATCTATGTCCATGTCTTCGAGTTTCTCTTCTTCGTCATCGAGCTGATCAGGATCTTCGGCGATTACTTGAGGCTCCCCATGCATGGGCTCATCCACGCCGTCTACGTCATACACATCCTGAGGATTGACTATCTCACCATCAGCCATCCATGGAATCATCAATCCATCTTGGTCGACCGGCACATCAAAAGTCCTAAGGGGTTGCCCGAGGTTTCCGTCTGCATCTCGCAAGCACCAGGCTACGTACTCCTGAGTTTGATGAAAATACTCTACCACGTTTATAAACACCACGGACCGGTATCTTACATATGATTCCCCATTTCTTGCGAGGTAGGTACTGGTATACTGGTGTATCTGTACAGGTATTCTAAAAAGCGGCGGGTTCGGCATCTTTACGGCTGGGGGTCTGAAAAGTTTCGATTTACACAACCGTGAGACGAATCTCAGTGAGTTCAACCCCTAAACCTAGGCTAGGCTAGCATGCAATCTCCTGACCGGACACAAATATTTGAAACCATAATGCAACAACAATCAAACAATTCTCTGACCCTGCAGGTTAGACAATTCAATATATAATAATCACCGCACATACGTGGCACACGTTATTACACGTACGCCAATCACATGCTCATGCACCGAGTCTCACACACTCGCATGCCAGTCCATGCATGTTCATGCATGCAAATGTCGTCGACATGTCACGTGCATTTCCCGGCCCACTGGCCCACACTGGCACACTGGCAATCGCCCAATTTATTATTTATTACGACTCGAGTCAACAACATTCACGGCCCGGTGCGTCTAGCCTGCTTCAAAGTGCATGAGGCGCAGCAACCGATCTGGCCCAGTGTCTCTAGCCTGCTTCAAAGTGCATGAGGCGCAACACTGATCTCCTTACGAACCAGAGCCTGCTTCAAAGTGCATGAGGATGGTCGTCTTCCGGACGTACCGGGCATCGTCCTGCTTCAAAGTGCATGAGGACGGTATCGACCCAAAGGTCACGACCCGAAGGTCTTTAGGTGATCACACAACTTATTATTATCCGAACCCAGCGTATGACGCTTCAGGGTATTTTAGGTGATCACACACTCATGGCAGGCACGCATTCTCGCACAATTTCACCACATGCCTCACTCTAGGCATACATAATGCGTGTTCATGTTATGCAATGCAATGCACCATGAGCACCAATGAAATTCAAACACTCAATATCACAACACGTGCTCAATTGGCCCAATTAATACCGTGTGGCCCAACGTGCGATTCACAATTCAATAATTAATTGCAAGCCAAACAGTGGCCAGTCGCACTCCACAAAAATCAGCCACACAACATGTGACATAGCAGTACTCAATCAATCACAATTAAGCACGAATTACATACAATCAGTCAACCCGGACATACCCGGCAATTCCACCAATGGGCTCCTAAATTGGCCAATCAATCCAATTACTCTCCCCAATAAATTCTCATTGACCCACTACATTTTTCCCGATAATAATTCTTACCAATCGGTACACTAATTCTTCTCAGCATGTACTAGTATTCCTAAACCAGTCCAGAAAAATGCACTATCAGTCCTAATCCGGGTTTAGGATTTTACTCACCTAATCCAAGGTCACGACGACGAGGAACGGCGGCCGATCACTGGTGAACAGTGGAGCCGGCGACGGTGTACGGACGGCGACGTACGGACACTGTACGAACACCGTACGGGGATGGTGGTGAACAGTGACGTACGGACGTCAGGGGACGTCACAGTGGGAGCAGCTCGGCCGTACAAGCTCCAGCGCGGCGGCGGTGCTAACCCGGGAGAGAAAAAGGGAGAGAAAGAGAGAGAAAGGGAGAGAGAAAGGGGTCGGACAGAGGCAAGGCTAAAGCTGGGACTGAGGTGGTCGACGGGGAAGCACGGTGGCCGGCGGCGGCGCTCCGGTGGCCGGCGGTGAGCTCCGGCAAAGCCAAGCCGAGAGGGAAAATGAGAGAGAAAGAGTGATCGGGAGGGAGAGAGGGAGTTCTGGCCGAAATGAGGGTGAGAGGAGAGAGAAACAGATTTAATTTGGTCAAATTCTAGGGGCTAGGGTGGCAAGTGTCACAAATCTAGCCCAAAATGACTATTTTGCCCCTTATCCAAGGGCCACCATTAAATCTTATCCAATAATTCAAGGGCATTTTGGTCCTTTGCTGCAATAATTAGGATAAGTCCAATTTTAATTAATTTCCTTAACTATCCCCCAAAATTCGGAACCAAAATTAGCCCAGGAGCAAAACCGTCATTTTTCCGGTCCCGGGGCTAAGTTCCATTTTTCGCCCGTACCAACCCTCCATGTGCGTGGCCAACATAATGTGGTGTCGAAATCGCGAAAACAGCCCTTTAAGCCCTTGAAAATCGACTGCAAAGTTTCGGGAATAAAATAATATTACTTTTTCACTTCCGAGCCAAAATTCCAATTTTTGACCGAAACCACTCTAAATGTGCGTGGCCACCCCAAAATGACATTAGTTTCGTAAAATAACCTCATACGGCCTCTGAATCCAAGTCAGTGTCCCGAGGGGCAAAATCGTAATTTTTCAACCCCGGACCGAAATTCCAATTTTCAACCATACTTACTCAAAATATGCGTGGCCAGCATAATATGACGTCAGATTCCCAAAAATAGTCTCTTAAGCCGTTGAAAATCGACATCGAAATCCGGGCCCAATTTCGTGATCATAACTCGCTCGATTTCAAATTTCAGGGTCTCTCACTAACGGGCGGCTGTTTAGAGGTTACGCATATCGACCTAGGGTTATCCGAGTCATGATGGTCCTGATCATTGAGAGAATGAGAAATTATCACTAGTCCCAGAGGTCACGATCGTCCGGTTTAAGTTCGGGACTGGTTGGCCACGTGCACTCTCGGTCATGCAGAATTACCTGCGATCCGATTGTACATCATTGGCCTTGGCCAAACCAAATCCATTACCTTCCCTAAGATCGGCCCACATTGGTTCATAATATTCTCTCATCATTTCTCGTGATCGGTATCCGATTCGCGATCGGGTCCCTGATCCACGTATCGTTTTCTAATTAGCCATACCCTATTGGTTAGTATCCCGAGAGTGATCAGCTCTGGACGAGACTTACTAAAATGAAATGCGAAATAATGTCAATTTTATTGATCCCGGAATTACATCGAAATTCGGGCTGTTACAGTAACACCATGTCTTGTGTCCAGAATTTAATCAGATATGTGATGAGAATCAGGACAACAACAAATGCTTAACCAGATTACATGAAATCGATCTGCATTCATGCAGTGGAAAGAACGGACAAAAGGCAAAAACGAAAAGAAAGAAAGTCAATGATTGACTTCACCGTATCGAGTAGATACATTGCATAATCTGAGAAGAAAATAAGATCTGCAAACACGTAATTTCAAATGGAATAGGAATATGCCATCATCTCTATTCGACCTCTCTGTTGCCATCCGTATACTTCCCGGTGTTGAACTTGTCCGTCTTGTGACAAAGCAGGAGCCACACGTGAGTGATGATTTCTCCGCCTCTTCTTAGCAGCTTTGCGTGGTGGTATTGCTGGCAATTGTACGCCGCGAAACATAGCATCTCAACCCAAACGCTGCTGATGAGCTCCCATGTGTCTTTAGTACTTTTTAGCTCTGTCGCGAGTCTTTGCGCTTCCGCAACAACATCCCACCCTCTGGTGATTACTGGTTCGAGGAAAACCTCTGAGTAACTTTCTTGCACGTACTCTGGGCCTGATAGAATATTCAGGATGTTCTCTCTGTCATGCGGCTCTGTTGTGATTTTGTCCAAGAACTTCTTGAACTTCATGTAGGCGTTATCCCAAGTGATCTTGGCTGTGGTCACAGAGAGTATGTGAGGATGTCGTACCAGAAGGAACATCATGTAATCTGATATCAGTTTGCTTGCCCTGTTATGGTTTGAATCTTCATAGCACGAGTAATCGCAGATATGGGTTGCGATGTGCCATATGATGATGCTTCTATCAAATGTCATCTCGATACTCCATTTGAGCTTATCCAGAGACTCGTGATTGCGATGACCATGAATGCTAAGCGTCCATTCGCCTCTTTTCGTGAAGGGTCGATGGCCTCTCTTTGTTTCAAACTTTTTCATGTCTTCAAGCAATAATTCCTTCAAATACAGGGGAATTCGCATGGGACTTGGTGCCAAATATTTCTTGAACTTCTCAGTGATGCCGGAGAGTCTGAGGATTCCAATTTTGAAGGGCCAGGGCTGTTTCTTGGATAAGCAGAAATTCAGAAATTCAAATTGCTGAATTGTGTAAGACCATCTTTTCTTCTTTAGTGATCGTTTGACCAGTAATTTCAGAAACTTAAAGAATATTGGATTCTTAAAGAGCTTATAATACCTTATAATCACTCTTTACCAAAAAAAAAAAATATAATACCTTATAATCACCCAATCCGAATAGAATAGCCTTAACAACTGATAAGTTTCCAGAAGCACAACTCCAATCACCAGGCCAAACGTGTATATAACGTACGGACCTCTCCATTTTTTATCAAAGAAAAGCTCCAGGAATCCGCCTAAGGTCACAAGCAAACTAAAATAACCGATGACGCGGAGCGCGATCCCGGTCTTGGTATAAAGAACTGGTGCTTTAGTGTAGAGGACATCATACATGAACCCGAGTTCCATTTCAGTTGTCAAGAATACATCTTCATCATTGTATCCGTCAATCAACTTATTACGATTCTCCATGAAGAGGGGGTGCTTCAGCCAGTCCACAAGGTGAGGCTTTAAACAATCAAACCGGTAGTAAGCCTTCGAGAAAATCTCTAGACTGGGAACGTCTTGGTGGAAGTCTGTCAATGCAGAATACGTCTCCTTTTCTTCCTTGAAATCCTCTTCTCTCATGCTCGTGTTCTCGTCGTACACAGAATAGTGCGCCCAAATTGTTTCTCCGTACTTGATTATCCCAGCAACAAACAGCGGAAAGTGTAGTATCATTGGGATGGAGGTCTTCCAATTTCGCCCGAGGATCCAGACCACGAAAGAAAATGTGATGATGAGGTTCAACACACGCCTCACGCTGGGCCGGTTGTCTTCCACTGAATATGCGGTAATGCTATCTGGATTCCCCAGCAGCAGTAGAATCAAAGGCGCCAACAATGCTTTTAGTTCAGTATCGCCCTCTTCCTCGGACTTGTTGAGTCTGACTGTCGTGAGCTTGCTGAGCGCAAGTGTTGCGAAATAAGAGGTGAGCAAATATGATGCCCAATTAGCAAATCTGATTGTCTCACCACTTGAGGTTTTCCTGCGGCTTCCTAATACAGCAAGAACTATCTGGAAAATCAAGCCGAGTAGCACAAAAAGTTGAATGCTCCAGTTGTCCCAGAGACATGTCAACTCCGACACCCACCCGGTGTGATGGCATCCCAGACGCACCAAAGAACAGTTCAATGTATTGCGCCCTCCACTTGTGGTTTTTCCGTTAATCATTGTCACAACAAGTCTTAGTAAAATAACCCCGATGAGAAGAGAAAAGAAGGCAGTGATAGACCCTCTTTCCCTGAACTTAGACTCTTAAGATCCTTCTTCAAGCCGACAAAAGATGATCCCACGATTAACAACTTTGCTCAGTTTCTGTAAGATACGCAGAAATGTTCCAATTGCCATCAGTGGACCGATACTTGGTGTAACTTTCTGGCACCAGGTAATATATCACTATTGCATGACACTTGCATGTTTACACGGTGGTTTTGCACTTAGAGATTAGAGATTCACATATTGATGGAGTAACACCGCGTTACTAACAATGGTGCCGCTAAAAAAATTGTCACCACAGAGTGATCTTGGAGAAATTCCATTTCTCATCTTAAGTAAGATTCTTTTTTCCTTGATTTTTCATTTAGGAAAATAGTTTGAAACCAGTTGCTTTCTCAGTCTTTACCTAGACCGATTAGTTTTTCCTTCTCGTGAAGCCCCATGGATTAAGGTTCCTGGTCCAGTCCGCCTATGAAGTACATCGATGCCGACTCTTCTCTTTGGTAAAATACTCGATTCTACGGTAAAAAAGATTTTAGGAATCCTAGGCGCGGCCTTGGATTTGTAAAATTCGTGGTGCTACAGTGATAAAAGAATATTCATGTTATAACTTTAGATCCTAGAAAAGTTTGATTGAGATAACCGAATGTATTACTATTCTCATTAATCTGAAGGCATGGATTCGTTACTAATATAAACTATTCAACTCGATTCTCCTATTGAACGTGGGAATGTTGTCTGCACAAAAAGTAACCAAGTTTACTGATGATAGTATAATATACATTCTCTTCCATGAGGGAATAATTGCAGATTAGTTCTCATAGGTTTGAGGTGAAAATTTTTTGAGTTCTCTTAGAGCACAACATCCTATTAACTCGAATCAAATTTCACTGGCCAAGTATTATGAACTCCTTTATTGTTAAATTAAGAATGAACCATCACACAAGGTGATTAATTTGCATAGATAGAGAGAGATCACTAAGTACTTCGAGAGGTCCATGTCACCCGTTCATCCCGTTGGGGGAACCTTCGCAAAAGTTCTGTTTTTTCATAATTGGGAGATCTAAGAAACAGCCCATAACTTGAACCCAGTAATCTAATTTTACCTACACCTTCGTTCAAAAGATCAAGCCATTGTATGGGCCGACTAGGTATTATTGATGGCTTCTTTAAGCTCTACACATACAATGTGGGATTTCACTTTACACACCATTCACATGTATATTTAACATTCTCCCCTGCCGGTGCTAGTCTCTACCACACCGGGCCAACTTGTTAGAGAGTTTATAATTTCAATGTAGATAAAAGAGTCCCACAGAGGAAAAAAGGAAGCTATTGGATTAGAAATGAGAACACCGATGCAAGTTTTGCTTGGGAGCATGGTCTCTCAAGTGGACATTTGGGTTTCCCTAAATATTAACTTTTCAGAAAAACATGTCTTTTTGCAGGCCTTACTAATGGCACTATATCAAGGAATGTATGTACATAAATGCTAGGAAAAATGGTGCATTCGGTTCAGAAAATAGCTACAAAGCAATCTGATTGAGAATGAATCTCATAAACTTGTTGCGATGGGGTTCCAAAATGAAAATAGATATGGTCACGGAACTGCAAATGGCTGCTCTGATCAAATTTGTGGATTGGTGGCTACATTCTGGGGCAACCATTCGTGTGTGCAACAACAAAGCACAGTTCAAGACATATGCAGAGTCGAAGGAACCGGAGGAGGTGCTTATGGGTTATCATCTTGCTGCCAAAATACATGGAAAAGGAAGCATTGAATTCAAATTCACTTCTGGGCAGAAATTTAATCTGCTTAATGTATTTCATGCTCCTGATCTTAGGAAGAATTTTGTATCTGCGAACCTGGCGTGTAAGAAGGGCTCTAAGATAGTTCTAGAGTCTGATAAGGTGGTGAATTCCAAGAATGGTGTGTTTCTTGGCAAGCGATACTCTTGCGATGGCATGTTCAAGCTGAGTACTATTGAGTATTCTTCTTCTTTATGGCATGCTAGATGAGGACATTTAAATTTTCGTTCATTAAATTACGAGTAAGCATGAATATATAACATGTCAAAATAATCACGATGACAAAAGTTTGTGATTAAACAATTTTGAAATTCCTTTTAAATAATGTGAACTTTTCAGACAATCATATTTATTATATGTGAACTATTTTGTCCAGTCTAAAGGTTGTGACTGTTCATGAGACACATTGTTTCATTGTTCTTGTATTAACGTATTTCCACATTAAAAAATATATACTCCAATTCCGTGTATTTGTGTTGAGAGAGTTTGTGAGGTTAAATTGTATCCTAGGGGCATTATTGCCTTAGGAAAGTTCTTTCACCCCCTCTTAGTCGAACAATTCTGTTTCATATACTACTTTTCTTTCACAGCTCCCCCTCAATCCAAGTCATTGACTCTTCTACACCAACAAATCTCAAGCCGAACCTCCAACAATGCCAACCGGTACAAAAACGCCTTTCGCTCATGATCTCCACAGATTCAGGACATCTGATCAATGGCAGCAGAGCGAGAAAAGCCACACATATAATTTTTTATTATTATTCAAGGGATGTTATTGACCCTATAAATTATATTAATTGATGATTGGGTGGAGAATTCTTAGTTGCGTATACTATAAGAGTCCTGCATTTGTTTATTGGGTGGAATGAGTACAAAGAATTGGTCTCTCACTTAACCCTCGTAAATGATAAAGCATGATAACAAGGGCAATAATAAAAGACAAACGTAGGAGCTCAGCCATTTAATAAGACAGATTCGGGAATACATGCGAAATAGAGATAGCCGTAAACTTGCATATAATTTATCTCTAATATTAGATATATCATTGAATGAATATGATGGATTTCGGCGTGAATAAATCATGGAAAATAATTTCAACCATCGAACTCACTTTAAAGTTGAGCTAGCTGGAGCACTGATCTCTCAGCCAAGTGATGCTGTCTGTACCCATATGGAACAAAGTATCCTGAGGTATTCCGAGATCAAAAGCTGTTAAGAAATCTGCATTCATTATCCATTTCCACCTTAAGCCTTCAGACGGTTAGTAATGGTCCGGCAACAATTCCAAGCAGGAGTAGAGCGTGTTGCTGCTCGATCAATATTAGATAGTTAGAACTGTCATAAGCTTTTGTTTAGACAAATCCGTCTATCGGTAGAAAATGACCCAAATAGTCATCTACTTTCTTCTCTGTCAATTCTGTTATCAATCGCCAGACACATGATGCAAGATGGATAATTTCTCTAGGTTATTGCTTTAAGTTAATAGTCGCCTACTTTCCTCTCGATGTTGTTATTACAAAATCTGGTCCAAGCTGACACGCAAATAGTGAATCGACATTCCTTTAACAAGTTTTGCATTGTGGTTTGGCCAGTGATAGTCGAATAAATAGAGACATGATTATCAGGGAAGACGCTTATTTGACACAGTGAACGAATTTACCAATGATTTGCGAAACTGAAACCATCTTATGATCAGCTTTAGCTATGAAAATGGAAAATATGAAAATTGTTTCTCAAAAGTGTTCCGATCAACCTAATAGCAGGCAAGTAGATTGACATGTGTGGGCAATTTTGATGTCCACTTCTAAGACAAGCAGAAATAATGATTAATAATGAATTTTCATACAATGCCTGGTATGATACATGCATAATCAAAGAGATGATGGCACCCGTGGCAGTCGCCATGGCCTCTCAAGCTCTGTTACAGAGCTCGGCCATGGCCCCAGGAGCTCTATAGTAGAGCTCAGCATTAGCGGCCAGTGAGTCTTAACCGACCAAATGATAAAAAGGAAAAGAGACAGAGAGAGAGAGGGAGAGAGAGGGGGGTAGGGTGCCCGTTAAAAAAAGAAGAGAGGGTTTTGAGTGTAAAATAATATTGTTCGAATCCTATTAACTAGGTACAAACTGCTATGACTAATGTCAACTTACTCACGATAATTGATTGGACTCAACCGTTTATGGGACTTGCTTATCTTTTGGTTTATACATGATCAGACTCCTTGCACAAACTTGGACAAAAGATTATACTGTATTTTCAGAAGGTTACGCAATAGCAAATGCATACTAGATCAAGACTAGCAAGTGAAATAAAACTAAAATGCGACCAAAGTTGGCAAGTGAAAACTGGAAAGAAAGAGGGACAGGTGTTGGGGACGGACCTTTTCGCAACGACTCACTTGAACCTAACGAGCACCATTTCCAAACAACTGCAGAAACTAGGGGAGTTTCCGAACCAGAAAGCAACCGATCAAGAAAGCCTTAAATATATACTTGTCTCCTATGTTGCTACGCCCAGAAACATTCCTTTCTTACTGTAGAGACCCACTCAAGCACTCACTTTGTCGACTAATAAATAAAATTTCCAAAGTTCTCATAATGTTAATTATATTGAAAGTACGAGGATAAGAAAGTGTCTATGCTTGCTTCGCGCTTGCGACTTTCCGACACTTTTTGCTGCACATACGTTCATAACTATGATTAATTACACCATGCTTTGCACTTTATCATTAGTTCTTCCTCGTTGCACTATGCTTTGCACTTTATCGTTAGTTCTTCCTCTCTTTTTTGCAGAAACTCCAAGGCCACCAACTGGCACTTTTGACTTTTTCCGCATGTGCCACCAGAGAAAGGAAAAGGAGATGAAAAGAATGTTGCAATAGTCAGTGTTGTCTGGCGTTTCACATTGGCGGAGCATCAAACGGAGAGTTCTTCATGTGCAGAATGGCTGTACTAGAGAGATTAGGATATGATCATATCTTTAATTGTATTGTCAAATTTAAGGTTGTGAAGTGATCTGGTTAAGGCATCTGGTTTAATCGTTACTACCTTTGCTCCTTTGCAAGTTTCTTTCTTGGCTTCTCTCCTTTTTGAGTTTTTGGATCTTCTCCCGCAGTCTTGTTCTCCCGTGTTGAATTCCTTCGTGTTTG